CTTCTCTGCGTGTTTCTTGTGGAAACACTTAGCAGTGTTGTTACGCCTTCGGTGTCATTGTCCCTATATTGCTTTCTTTGTAATTTTGCACTCCTATGAAGTATGACCTTATGTAATTTTGTACTCCAGATAACGAATTCGGTTGGCAATCAAATTATATACGACTTCCTGCATTTGGATACTGAAAACGTTCACTAATTTTATTTCACATACCGATGAAAGTGCTCCATATTTTATAATGTTCACATTGCCTTTGTTGACTTTACTGTGCCTCCCATAGTCTTTTAATGCTCTGGAAGAGAAAAGCATTTTACGCATTGTGGTTTATTCAGGCTATTAGCCATGAATCTTACCATCCATTCATCTGTGGAAAAACAGTGTTTGGTAACCCAGCTGACACATTTCTGCACAACACGGGAAAGCTATCCACCTTATGAATCTGCCTTTTATTGTTAAAATGCGCCCTTTTTCGTTCTGCTGACCTCCATCCAGACGGAAAGTGGTATGCGACTTTGACTGCCGTACCGTAATACCTATGTTCGAATCCTGGAGAAGGCATGGGTGTAAATTCTTTGTCCCTTCATAGAAGGCAACGGTAGCTCACCTATCAGGTGCCTCTATAATAAAGTTGTAGAGTCATTAGGTTATTTTGAAGCAGGATACATGAAAAATGTGCAATGCCGTGCAGATTCGAACCTGGGTATCTCGAATACGCGCCGAATGTGCTACCGTTACAGCACGAAGGCATGCAGAAAAGAGGGAGAAAATACCTTATACATTCCCCATTTTAAAGGGCAACTGGGGATTAGGGAATCCAGTCGCCAAATCCTGCTGATAAAGAATCATCATCCAACACTTTTTTAGTTCGGGCGTCACTGTAGAGTCATTAGGGTTTTTGAAGCATGAAACATGAAAAATGAACAGTGCACTCGCCGGCACTCGAGCCTGAACATCTCGATACGCGCCGAGTGTGCTACCGTTTTACCGCGAAGGTATGTAGAAAGGAGGAAGAAAATACTTTACCACAGCTTCCGGCCTTAGTAGTGGCCAACGCCTATAACGGCTAGTAACCGCCACTGCAAATAAAAAAAATGTTTATGCTGTCCTTTTTCACAAAATCTTGTGTTAAGCTGGAGCCATCTTAGAACAGAAATTCGTAAGAATTGGATGTAAAATTGTAAGTAGTATTGTGCTACACTTGAACTGCTCGCTTATAACTAAAATAATAAACGTACAGTATTTTTAGAACAAACTTACGTAATAACATTCACAAAATTAAATCAATAATACTGTAAGGTTTATCCTACGTTTTTAACACTTATCTTTAGTTAAAGTTAGTTTCCTATCTCTCCTAATTTCAGCTTACACTTTCCTGCCGGAATGTGTTTTTAGAATCGCAGTTAATGCAAATGAGGAGGAGCAGTATTTAAGTCGAAGTTCTACTGACTTCTTTAGAGCGCCAGAGATTCTGACTAGAGGGCGTTTGCCATTTGGCTACACTCTCTCTACGTTCGGCCTTATTTCAGGCCCTTGTTAGGTTAGGTTATTTACACTCTTGTCCATAAATTAAGGATAATGCAAAATCAGGCAAAGGGAGAGTCAGAAGCTAAACAAATTTGACTTTATTTGTAAAGCTTATTTATTAAACAAAAGGTAAAGAGCAAAAAAGGAGGCTATATGTTTGATTTTATTAAAAAATTAGCGATTTTTTCTCCCTGGAGCAAATTACAAAAAAACCAATATTACATGGTTGGTATGATTGCTAATCCATTGTATCTCTCTCCAGACGATGCAATACGTCCGTACAATGCCTAGGCATGCTGAGTATCAAATTATCGATTTGATCTGGGGGAATATACATACACTACTCAAAAAGCAATGCTCTCCGAAGTTCCGGTAGACATGTAGGAGGAGGTTGCCGGGCTGCAACTCGTCGGTCAAGCATGTCCCACACGTGCTCTAGTGGTTTCAAGTCTATTGAGAATGCTGGCCAGTCCATATGGGTGATATCTTCCAATTAAAGGCATTCGTTTACGATGTTTGCACGGTGAGGACGGGCGTTGTCATCCATAAACACAAATTGTGCGACCATGGCGCCCCGAAACAAACGTACATGTTGTTCCAGAATGACGTCCCGATAGATCTGGCTTGTCATGGTCCCAATTTGAACATGCAGGTCAGTTCTGGAACCCAGAATAATACCACTCCTGCACCACCGTAACGGTGTCGTTCAATGATATTTTCTTGGTGGTAACGGGTACCTGGAGCTCTCCATATGAAAGTCCGGCGAGAATCAGACTGCAAGCTAAACTTGGACTCGTCGGAAAACATCACACAAGCCCACTGTTGCGGTGTCCACAATGCATGCTCTCTACTCCAGGCTAACCGCAGGCGACAGTGAGTTGCAGTAAGTGGAACGCATCTGACAGGTCTACGAGCATATAGACCAATCTGCCCTAAGCGTCTGTGCACGTCTCCTCCCTTGAAATTGTCGTACCAGTGGCTGAAGAGAGCTGACGAACAGGTCTGAGGCTGTGCTCCGCCTGTTTCTTTTGGCAGTAACTGCCAAATACCGGTCCTCATTCGGCGTTGTAACTCTGGGGCACCTGTTCTGTAACGTCTACTCACATTTACCATCATCATCTTGGAATCGTTTGTCAAAGCCTGGAGATGGCACTCTGGGCAATTCCAGTTCGTCGTCTGATACTTCCAGTTTGGGTACGCCCACATTCCAGACGGCCGATAATTCTACCACGTAAAAAATTATCCAAATGCGTTCTTTGTGTCAAACTATTCGGTTATTGCACTGAAATGCTTATAAAGCGCCTGAGAACAATTTTACTTCTTTGCCGGTATTCCTTATATATCACTCTCTTACACTCTCGTCATTGTGACGTACCATCGGTGTCATCTGGTTACTTCTTGAAATCTGCATATGATTCTTGAAGATGTGTGTAGTGATTTTACAGATGATATATTTATTTTAGAGTTCGATTTCCGCGTGACTCCGATTATCCTTAATTTATGGACATGAGTGTAATTACGGCAAAGCCTCGAGGGATATCTGCCTAAGGGGAGGGATGCCTTCGTGGAGGACTTTCTAAGGGAAACTGGCTCGTATACACATTACACATCGAGAAAACCAAGAAAATACCTATGCAGCCAGCCCGTTCGCGGGATGCGAACCTCGGGCCGAACTATTAGTGTTCAGTGACTTTACCGCTCGGCCACTGGTGGGCTGCTCTTGATAGCTTCGGCAGTTAGTTAACATTTAGGGGCCAACTCCTTAGACTTTTGATAGCTTCGGCTATATCTTTTTAGTTAAGCATTAGTTAAGTTTTATTTTTTAGCACTCTTGCGTTAAAACCCACGTGGAGGCCTTCTGTATGTTCTAAGAAAGGAGCCAACTGTAAAATTCTTATTTTGAGAAATAAAGGGTAATTAACCCTTCTTGAGTTTACGTCTCTGTTCTTGAAGTAATGCGATTATTCGCTCACTAGTTCACAAGGTTCCTACACACTTAGCTGTAACAGAAAAGGTGGGAACCCCACAATACAGGTGTTTACTTCTTTAAAGATCACTTTACTGCAAAGCTTGTTCCACCTCGTTGCACCAGCTGACTCTCTGAAATATGTAGGCACTGTAATCATTACTGCTGCAACTTGTATTTTTAAATCTATCACGATCTTGACAAATGATGCAGCTTCGACGTCAAAACTTGCTTTTCTCTATAAGGAATTATATATCTCGTGTCACGAAATAAGGTATACCATGAAGTCAGGTAGATTTGCCCTGTATGTTACAGCTCGTACGTCCACAAATTATAAAACTGCAGTTACATCTTTTATTATTCCTACTGGCTTTAAATAGCTAAATTTTCAAGACTGTATGGTTAAATCCTGATTACAGTTAATCTAAACACTGGGTAATCTTCTTAGAATGCCAAATGAAATCTTATAACTTAGAATCCAACAATAGAAAATGATAACTACAACAATCTACCAGTTGCTTTTATTAGCTTAAAAGCAGTTTTCAAACTGCTTTTACTAACATATAAGTAACTAAATCATTTATTTGTTAGGATAAGCAACGAAAAAGTAGACCGTCTTCAATAACGGGACCACGCTGTTTAAAGGAAGGGGTAGCCACTTGCTCTCTCCCTATCGACAGTCCGTCCTTCCTGCAACTTGTATCGCTAAATAAAGCACTGTTCTAGCTTTAATTTGTCTTCCTATTTCCATTTCTGGGAACATCGCGTCAGAAAGATGGAGTTTACCTGGTTATATTAGCTCCGGAAGCGGGCTACTTTTTCGTTGTCTACCCTGTACTTCCTCTTAAAATTTATAAAAATTTAAATATTTAACAGAAACTTAACATCTACATTTTGCTGTCTGATTACGCAACAGTATTTCAGTTATTTATCATACAGATATCAAATTAGAAATTAAGAGTTTATCTCCTTTGTTAACGCGCCTTCTGATAAAACTGCAAGCAAACTCAAACCCCAAAACTTACCAGCACTCAGCACAGTACTATGAATGGTAGAATCTGCTGTCCCTTAACTTAGATTCATGCTTGTTATTTTATAAGAGTTTCGTCTTCTTAGGTAGCCCAAACTAGACGAGAACTCTCTAAAAAACGATATGTGCACTATCATTATGTCTTGTAAATACCACAAGGACAGAGAAGTGTGTAAAGGACCCTTTTATTAACTCACATAAAGAATTAACAGACGGTACCAACTCGTGCTTATAGAAGCCAGCAGTTATGGTTAACTCAAAGATAATGGATTAACTAAAAACTAAGAAATTAAGTTAGCCTAACGGCTACACACTTGGAATAACGCGTAAGCTGGCTTTGACCTAAGGTAGGCGCGACAAGTCTAATTGCGAAAAATAACGCCTCAAAGTACTACTGACAAGAGCATCAAATTAGCAAAGTCGTCTTCTATCAGGCAGATAAGCTTAAATTCTACCCTCTAAAACCTTCCTTTAAATAGTGCACTTGCTTTGGCAATACATATACCAAAAATTGGAACGATACAGAGAAGATTAACATGGCTCCTGCGCAAGAATGACACGCAAAATCATGAAGTGTTCCACATTTTTCGGCTACGTAATCAATATGTAATATCTATGTACAAGTATCAATATGCAATATTTATGTACACGTTTGTAATCAATATGTAACCAATTTGTAATATCTATACCATGTAAATATCAACAATATAACAATTCCCAGTAGCCACTGAGATTTAACAGAAGACAGTGGGCATGCATTAGCCGCTGGGTCTCATTGGTGAAGAGGTATACAGTAGAGGTATAGCACAGTAGTAGAGGAATGTTGAACACATTCCCCATCACTCACTCTTTTAAACAGTCTGTTCTTTCTACCTCATTTGAATATCACGCGAGCTAGAAATTTGCATTCTGGCAGGAAAATGGAAATGACAACGACAATAAAGTAAATTAACATAAAATAACTGCTTAGAAACTTAAATGTGAACTCTACAATTTATTATTCAAATGACCAGGCACTTACTCCTTAAGCATTGGTCAAAAATCGCCGAACACAGTCATTTTGGTTGCTTATTATTTAAACTCACATAATTTGCATTTCTTGTGGAGTTGACGGTAAGTAGAAATGCAAGAAAGCTCGAAACTAAGAAAATAACATGTGAAATAAAATAAACCGTAAAAATCAAGCCATAAAAAAGCCAGGCTTTTTAAAGTCTGATGGATTCTAAATGTAGCATGTTTTTCAGAACTGCTTATCAGTCTTTCTGTTGTACTCACTGACTACATGAAAAATGAAATAATCGTATTAATGTAGCTATTAAATAAAGTGTGACACTCATGCAGCGAAACTCGTGTTATGATTTACGCAAATCATTTCATGCCCGAAAATGCAGTGTGTGACGTTTCTCTGGACTACATTTTGACAATAAGCATAAAATGTATAGTTTTTACAAATTTTAATTCTCAATGAGTACCTATAACCTAAAACTTATTTAAATGATTCTTCAAATTTGACACGTTAATTTTTTTTCACAGATACTTCGAATTTAGATTGCTATACTAAAATTATAGCATAACAACGTAGTGGATGAAATATTCCCTCGACAATATTATAGAATCCAAAGGTAACATGATTCTGGGATCATTTTGCTTTAAAGTAAGGTTTCCATTAACTACATCATTGTGTGTAATGATGCCTGTAGAACACTGCTAAATTGTCCATTCAAGATCATGAAGAATTAATCAATTATCTGAATAGAATTCATTATTAAGCACAAATTCCACAAACATTCATAGTTAAAAACATTCAGTCTTAAAAACAAATTAAACAATAGTGATAATGTTAGCAGCAATTTGTGAAAAATGTGCTTTTAGTCCCTAGATGGTAAATAATAACATCTTTCGCGAATATGTTATTATTTACCATCTATGTCTCATACCATGTTATTATTTACCATAGCTGCGATTTTCTACAGTGTGAGGTGCAGTGAGCGTTTTATCAGACATAAAGTATTAGAGGTGTGAGCAACAGATACGGAGGATCAGTTTTACTTCAAGAGATCATTTTTTAAGAATCTTTTCTCTGATTGACAAAATTGAAATGTAAAACTCGTGCCGCCCAACCGGGATAGTGGTTAGCGACTCTGACTGCCTTTCTGAAGGGCCCGGGTTCGAATCTCGGAGAAGGCATGGATGTTTGTAAATGTATAGTGTCCGTGCGGCATCGGAGGCACTCTAAACATGCGGCTAACTAAAAGTCCTCTCGAAAGGTCGGAGGTAGGAGAAGAGGGGTGGGAGAACCTCGGACCTGTCCCCTCAGAGTGTTCTCCATCAAAACTTTGGGGCGAAACTGAGCGAAGTTGTACTGTCACCTGTTTGGTGTTCAAGGGTTTTGCCAACGACAGTCTCAATCTTGCGCTGCTTGCCACGATGAATTTCGTGGGCTTGTTCTGATGTTACTGTCAGACAAGTGAGATAAATCAGAACAACAACAAAATTTATTTTTCGAATAAAAGTAGCCTTTCCTTTCTATGCGATGTTTATATTTCACTATTAAAATAGTAAATAACGAAAATAACGTTGACAGATATAATATCGAAATAAAACCATTTGCATAGTTGAATAAAATAAAGAATATAATTTTCAGATAGCAGTCGCACTTAAAAATAATAAGATTCCCAATGTAAAAATAATTCTAAAAAAAAAAAAAAAAAAAGAGAGGAAGAAAGTTGTTGTCTGCAATGACTTTTGTGAAACAATATTCAGCAACCTTGACAATTTTTTTTATTATTATTTTTAAGGATATCAATGCTAAATTAATACAAACTGAAAAGAAAGCAATTCGAAATAAAAAATAAATAAAAGTTAACAGAATTGTTCTTAAAAGCTGCAAAAGTTTTGGTAAGCTATAGAAATAACTTTTTTGAAATCTGTTATTTTAAATGAGGGTTTTTGTTCTTATTTCTAAAACTTTGAAATATGCATTATTTGAAATATCAAAGAGAAACATTAAACAAGTCTGAAATGTAAATGGTAGGCTACTACTTTTTTCACACATCATTGAAGATAGAAAACGCTCTCTTTCAAAAGACTCGTGGAATTATTCTTTGTTATTGAAAACCTTCACAAAAAGGTATTTTATTTTTATAATATTTGAACTACTTCTCAACAGAAGCATAATAAAAATTTTCAATATTGGTTCACGAAAGATTACTATCTGCCTATAAAGAATAGTCTTCATTTGTTCTAGAGTACAGGGAATCCACCTTCCTCGTACCCTTCTTCTTCCAGCACCAATTTCTCAAGAATACATATGGATTGACAGATTTTTAAATGTTCCCATTCCACAAATATAATACAGTCACCAAAGTCCAGAATTCTAGTCTCTGCCCAACGGAGTGGCAAGTAGTCTGTACTAGCCATTAATACCATTTGGCGAGATCCTTTCGACTGCAGCTTAACTATGTGAAGTATGAACTTAATTATATCGAAATGTGGAAACTTGAAATTCATCTTTATTACTTATTATGAAAAGCAGGAAAGGAAGAAGATGAAAGACCTCTAATCAAAAGACAGTTAATAAAATAATAAACCTTTGTAGATTCCTTTGGGTTAACTTCTATCTGGATACTGGAGTAGCAGGAAACTACACAGAAGAAGGCTTCAAACCCTTTATCAACTCTTTAAAATTTGCAATGCGTCGACTCGACGCTTACAAACTTCGTCTCTACTTGGACGGTAACTGAAAGTCGGATAATTGAAAATTAAAAGTTGAAATGTTTAACAAGTAATAAACAGGGCTCAGCGAGATCCCGAACTTCAACCCCCTTCTACGCTAGTGGCAGCAAAGCAATGCAATTAAGCCACTTGAACCAGCAATAGGCAAACGTACCTACGGCAGAGACGGCAGCTAGAGCCTAACTCTTCCTTTCTCCTACCGAAATTCGGCTTTTAACTACTTCCTTCAACACATAGAAAATTTGCATGCGTTCACGCGCGCTACAACATTTAACTATTCTGGCACTGACCATTAGGGGAATGAAGGCTTATAGAAAAGTCTGAACTTAAAATTTAAAATGTGTTAGTTAAAATAAATATAAATCTCTACACCTTTACGAAATTTCTGACATATATTGGCAGAAACCGGCTATGATGCGACTAAACTCGTGACTCAAAAGACTTGAAAAAGTTTAACTTACCGTAAAGTAAGCTTAGCAAAATTAATCGAAGTACTTCTTATTTATATTTTTAAAAATATAACGCTAATTTATATACTAACAAATATACAAATGTCCGACTGTTGCGCTTGAAACATCGGATTTCATAATGAAACTTCAGACAACGGTGACTCTGCTAAATTTTAGTTTCGTTAACCAAATTAAGAACCATTAGATTCAATTATTATCCCTAATGAGATGGAAGAGTAGTCATGTCAGTTTATGTTCTGGACCCAAAAATAATGCAAATGTTTATAAAAGCTGTAGCAAAATGTAAAAGAGTCTGATAGGTATGGTGGATGAGTAAGAGCCTCAAAGTGCAAAGTATATATTTTTGGATTATTGCTCTTCATACATACAGTTTCGCGTATTTTAAAGTAGTATAGCTCCATCTCGTTTTCTCAATCTACGCCGATCAAAGTGCGATTTCGGATGCATTTCATCCAGCTGGGAGTAATATTTCTCAGCATTAACTTTTTTGCCTAATTTTAAGAAAAATACGCCTGCTATGCACTACCAAAGAGTCACCATTATCTTCTTCGGATTAAAGATTCAGATTTGTCTTGTGTTTTGGGGCATCATCACAGTCCAACCACTAAACTGATAGGCAGTAATTATATTAAAACCCATTTTTCGTCATGTATCACTATTCTGATCAAACGCGAAACTTTTACGCTGTAGGAAGTATTAGGCAGCGCAAACTTCTAGGTAACGGACCATGTCTTTTCATTAAGTACTTGGAGAACTCACTTACCAAGCTTCTTGACTTTTCCAAGTGCTTGAAAGTGAAGGGAAATTGTCGAATGGTGCACGCAGAATTCCTTCAACTTGTTTCTTACAGTTTGATATAAATCACACTTCACTAGACAATGCAATTCATTGTTGCTGATGGCTGATGCTGAGTCTCATTTGCGTCCAAGGATTATTCAAATTTTCCTAACTATTGCTGCGTTGTATTACCTGTAGCTGCTCCAAATGTTCTGTTGATGGTCCTGCTCTGCTGTGTTCAGTTATGCCAAGTTTCAACTCATAAGAGAAATGGATCTGGTTTTGCCTCATTTCTATATTTTGTCCATCCCATCATATACTTCATGAGCTTATCTTTGGGTATTTGTCACTTAGAAGGTTCCCAAAGATTAATCCAGTGATAGACGCAACCCTTGCGTCTAGGCTTGAATAAAATTTGTGAACTAATTGGATGGTACTGTTAGAAAAATAAAATAACTCATTACATCCCTACTTCATTTCAAGCAGAACTTCAAAATTTTGTAATAAACTGCCAGAAAGAGAGCCAGATTTTTATGCAAGGGCATTAAAGCCTGTTTAGATCTATTTTGTCCATTTTCTTGATTAATCAAACATTTACAATTGCCT